TGCTGAAGCCCAGGTGTCAAGAAAATCTGTAAATAGGAAGGAAATTTAGAAGTTATAGGCCAATGTCAAGAAGATTGAGAAATAGGCAAATGATTCACGGTGGAGACCTGTTTTTAACATATTGCCAGGTGTATGGCATTTAAGATGGGCCTATCAGTTTTAAGAAGCTGTGCAGCAACTTTGAAACTGGAAGGACTATCCCTTCTGCCTCTACCCTTTTCAAAGCAGACCACCAGTTATACAGCACAGCTCTTCACTTTATAAATACTGTAAATGTCAGCAACCTCGCAGCTATGAGCCTGTTTAGCCCTGGCTCAAATGAAGCGACAGCACCACCTTCTGGCTAACTGTGGAAAGTGCAGGACTGTTTTATCCCATTGCGGACGGACTCAACTAGCAGGCGTAGATGGAAAGCCCTTTACCCCAGGGTAGTCATTAGTTCCTGGGGATCTTTGACTCCTGCCACTGGTTTAGTGCCCATTTTACTACACTGATGACCCTGAATGGCCTCCTCAAGAAAAGGAAGGCATTTATCTAATCAATGACTGGGAACAGCATGCTATGACTGAAAATCTTGCTTAATATTGTTATTAATCACCATCGCCACCACTACTACTATTTTCTGTTCACTTATGATGTGTGAGGCTCTATACTTTTGGTAACTGTACACAACTTTAAACTATCTGTGTCATGTAAGACTTTGCAGCATTATCCCATTGGGATTTTATTATCCCTGCACAATAGATATTATTATTCTCATTTTACCAGCTTTCTTGTATTAGCCAGGGTAGGGGCTAAAATAGGGTCAGTGCAACAGAAAAAAAAAAACTTTGTATGTTTGACTCACATCATATTTTCAGAGTTATCTAGTCTTTGACATCCCTAAGTTTGTTTTCAGTTATTTCTCTGACATTCTAGATCATGGCTCACTTGAAACCCCAATGTGTAGCATGTACAAATTTCTACTTTGTCTGATGACATAAGGGGCAAGTAATCCCAGAGTCACCCTTCAGCCCACCCCATTAGCAGCCTCAGAAGTGGTTCTTTGACACTCAGCTTAGAAATCAAGACAAACATTACACAATGTTGACATGTCCTCACAGGCTGCCCATGCCAAAAATTAAAGACTTGCCACTTTAGAACAATGTCACAAAACTCATCAATCTCATGGCATTGTGCCTCCATAGTAAAAAGGAGAAAACTAGCAGCAGAAATATTGACTGCAAGCATTGCTTCCCAGCACTCTTCCAGGCATTTTACATACATCATCTCATGTGGTCCCAATAGCAGCACTAAGCAATTTGGAGAGTACACTTTTCATGAGAAAATTAAGGCCCAGAGAAGCATAATAATCTGCCTGCAGCCACATAGATTCCTGGGTCCATCTAACTCCAGAGCCTCCTAAACTTTGCCACTGTGCTATAACCCACCTTCCCTGCTTAGTCACATTGCCCAGATCTCTCCCTCTACCTCCAGCCTGGACAATTCCAATGTGGGGTGTCGAAAAAGAAATGCTGGCCTCTTGCTGACACATAGGTTATTCTAGCCATTGTTGCAATGGTTAAAAAGAGTAGAGACAGCGGTCATAGATCTCTACCTCTGGTCTTCAGAAAAATCATGGAACATGCTGTAATTTCCCACCAGGCAAAATCCAGAAAGATCTTACCTTGCCAGTTACAGAGAAGAGGGAGAGAGTGTCCTTTGTGCCCCTAGCTCTTTTAGTCTGGCCAATTGACTTATAGCCTGTGCCCGGCCAGTTCATTAAAGTAAGACCCAATACCAGCAGCTGTTCGCTGCAATCTCCCTTAGCTATCCCCTGCCACGCCCCCCTCCTGC